TCTAAATCGGCACAATACATGCAAAACAAATGAGAACGAATATATGCATTAAATTTTGTACGACGTCTGGAACGCATAGAAATAACCATTCCCTTATAAAAAAATGTATATGTAACCATTTAACAGCGTGGACTTATGTCGACAGAGATAACTTTATTATACCCTTCGCCAAAGGATGAGAGGCATAATCATTTCGTCAAAATGTTTGCAACGCCCAGAAGGATCCTGCAAAGACCCCATATGTGAATATGTAAATTCTTGGCTATTTCCAAGTTCGGAATGCACCTAACCATGTCCGTCTATTCGTCCCCCCGTATGTGCTTTTGCCCAACTGTATAGTATCTGCACTAAATATTCTCGCAAAAATGAATATAACGCCTACAAAATATACAAAAGGATTCCAACATGACCTACACTTCTCAAAGGATATGCCTACGACGCCTATACGCCTATGTAAGAAAAATTGCGAACACTTTGCTTGTCGTGTTTTTTGCTCGTTACTCATCAACATCTAAGTTTCCACTTTTATTCTGAAAATAAAAAAAATTAGCCGCGCCCAGCCAATATTACAGGATAAGAAAACTTAGTTATTTTCCATTTTTAGGATAACGATGTTGGACGTAGGGAATTCGGTCACGTGCAAATATAACTTTCTTATTTGTTTCTAGACATGATTTCTCTTTTATTATACCCATCATCGAGGCATGAGTGGTATACTGTGGTATATTGTCACAACACTCAACAGCAGACTTCAGTACCCAGTATAAAGTATATATATTTTTGTTTAACATCAGATTGCGAATCGATGTAAACATTTCCGTCTGTCCGCTTGTCTTTTGTAAACATTAAACATTCGGTTGGTAGCAAAAATTAAGCTTTTTCTTACACGCAAGTTGATATTGAAAATGATCAAAATTGGATCAAGGACACGCCTAAAGCACCATCTAAACTGAGTACTACAGCAGATAAACCTATAAAAATTTAAATGTACTTATACAAAAGTCGGCTATGTCGGCGCAATATTATAGCGTATCAAAATTTCACTTTTCTTGTCAAACCCTTTATATGACGTTCAGGAGTAGGCTCCCAAAAAAACCCCATAAAGTATGTAAATTTTTGACTAGTGTCTAATTTGAAATGTCCATAAATATGTCTGTCTATTCGTCATATGGCCATAAATATGAAGATAACGTTCACTGCCGAAAATAATTTTCTCATTTCTGAAGTCAAAATCTCTGTTGTGGAAGGAAAGAGAGTGTGGCAGAAACAAAGAATACAAAGCGAAATATAGAATATGAAAAAGAGAAGCTCAAGCGTTTCTCTTATGGCTACTCTCAAAAGCGTTGCACTCCATTTCCGACGCCTGTACGCTTTTTTCGTGTCTAAGATGTCTTTCTCAAGGTATATTACTGGTCACACACCGAAGGAGAAGAGAGAAAAAAGAGGAGGGTGAGGACAAAAAAAAATTGAGTATGAGTTTGAAAAGGGAAAAGGAAAGTTTACCAATTGGTTACCGCTAATCTCTCTGCCGTAAATGTCGTAAGCTTAGTTTTTTAAAAGAATGATGTTTGAACATCTACACCTTTCTTTCTTCGCTTGAAATATCCCCGGGGGAATTGTGCTTGTAGTGTTTTGCCATTATGGATCATTTTTAAAACAAGATGCTCTCAAACTTTAAAGCGAAACGTGAAGAAAGACAGAAATCTCGAGAAATGCTAAGAAATGCCAAGAAATGCCAAGAAATGCCAAAACAGGTGCATGGCAAATGAGGCCTTTCTAACATCTAAAGTTAATTGCGAATAAAAGGAAGGACAAGAAAAATCACTTGTTGACCTATATTTCACACTAAGCTTCGACAATTCGCCAATTGGCCCTCTTTATAAAACGCATACATCCCCAATCGCCATTGACAGAATAAAAGCGAAAATTTTCAGTTGGAAACACGACTGATTATTTGGTGAAATGAGGACTCCCTGCCAAGGATTCATCTTGATTTAAAAAAGAAAATACAACAGCTTTGCTTTAAATCTTTTTTCCTAGCGAGCGAAGGGTCGTGAAGCCCGATATCTAGAGCACCAAACCTCAACATAACTATTCTACACTTAATATATCTCTAAAGAACTACTTACGGTTTGCAAACTTTTAAAAACTGTGACGATATTTTAAAGGAGTGTTCTCGTAATCATCATTGACTGACCGCTTTATGTTCAAGACATTGTTCTAGAATTTTGGTTATGACTACATATTGATATCCCAGCAAAATTTTGCCTTTCCACTGGATGAGTGATACCCTTGTTTATGTCATGCTAGAACTACAACTTATCAGTCTAACTGTAGAGCTCTTAATCACCAATGAAAAGAAATGGTGATGAGTAATCCTTCATTCAAGCAAATCGTTTTATTGGACTTTCTTGTTATCATCAATGTTTCCATTATTTTTAAAATTTTATTTTATTTATTTTTTTTTTCGATATGGAAAACATAAAAGACTCTGTCCAAAGGAAAAAGTAGCTTTTAATGCTTTTTATTTGCCTAACTTAATACGGAACAAATAAGCATAGGGTATAAGAGGATGCCATTTAAGCTGAGCATAATTCCTTAATGCTATGTAGTCGTTAAGAACAAATGTGCAATGCGGCAACAATTTTTATCAGATCGCCTTTTTTTAGCTTTCTCAAGCATGTTTTACGTTTGCGATGAGATAAGTTAGATACTTGTCGCAGCACATTTCCTTTTTTTGATCTTTTTCACATTTGAAATTTCACCATTAGTCATAATTTGCTTTCGTTTATTTATTGGCAAATAAAAACATTAAAAGTTTATTTTCTAAAACGTTCGTTCGTTCATCTTCTGTTTGCCGTCTCCAACGGAAACACCCGCCTCCCCTTCCCCCCCACATCAAAAATATGTAATGGACTTGTCAAGCAATCAAAACTTTTGACTAATTGTTTGCTTATCCGTTCTACGCTTTTATTGCGGAGGGAAGGCATACCACATATATACATTTGCGCTTAGTGTTAGCTGACATGAATGTGAGCGAAATGCTTTTTTTTTATAAATTATGAAAATAAAAGTTTTTGATTTTTAATTAAATTGAAGATAAGAAATTTTCAAGTTTATTGCATTTCTAAGAAAACAATTTATTGATTTATTTATTTATTTATATTTTTGTATCTTTGTAGATTGATAGATTTTGGTGTTAATAAACATAAATATGAAGAAGTTCAAGGATTATCAGAAGAATCAACCAATAATCGATCATCACTCCCAGTTGGCATTACATGTAACAGCGATCATAAAAGCAAAGACAGCAATATTGCATCTATCGAGTTGTCACCATCAAAAGCGGCAACAAAAGCAACAACAAAGTTAGACAATCAATCGCCTGAAATACCGTATTCCGAGCAGAGATCTTCGGCGAAAGCGAACACGAACACGAACGGTAACAATAATAGCGGAATAAATCTGAAAGGGGGTAAAAAGAAATCGCCAAAATCGTCGAAAATACCGCGTTCACCTTCGCTAACTAGTTGTCTGAGCGGCGGTAACACGTATAACAATTTTCAACCCCCTCCCATATCTGGCATCCCGCCACGAACACCACCGCTGCCATTGTCTTATCAAAATCGAATTAAATCAATGAATGGTCACGGTATAGCGGCGATTAGCACCAACAACAATAACAACGATAATGTCGTTGGCAATAGCACCGGTAATGTGACAAGCGGTGGTGGAGGGACTATAAACATAACTCCTGCGAATGGTCAAGCGTATAGGAATAGTACAAATATGGTACCGAGTGCACGACGACCTCAAGTACAAATTCCCTCGATTGCGGGAGAGTCGGCGAAAAATTTCCAATATTTAACGTTGACGGTGCGCAAGGATGAGAATGGCTACGGTATGAAGGTAAGTGAATAGTTAAACATAACCAAAATGCTTGTAAAGATTGTAGAGAATCTTCTATAAAAATTTTACTTTCAATAATTTCCGCAAATCTACTTAAATCTTGTTTATTGTGCAGTTCATATGAAATTGTGGGCGCATTATGCTGGCGTCATTTTTTTTATTACGCAAATTGATGGATATATATATTCACCCGCAAAACCTATATTGTCTGTGTGTAAATAGGTTTATAGCCTTATTTTCTTGAAAATGTCTATTAATATTACAATTATATGGATGATATAATTAACTTAAGGCATCATTGCTTATATAATAACTTATACTTTTCTATATACGACTGAGCATTCAGGTGGGGGGTTCTACACATGTGAACACGGTAGTAATTAGGAATGGCTATAGGTAAAGAGAGCAAAAGAATGGAATAGTGTTAGACTTGAAAATGGGTATATCTGACATAAAGCGAAAGGTAACGTTACAAAGGCGGATTTTTCTGAAGAAGGGCAGTACGGCGTCGCGATAGTCTATTATGCGGTATATATCGATTTATTTGTCCTTTAAGTGTACGCAAAGATTTTTCGTAACCGAGTAGCGGCTTTTGCTGTTCAAAACAAAAACGGAAGAGCACGCTACACGGGTGGTGCATTGTTCTGAAGGAGGGCAGTGCGGTTACATAACGAAGGGTCGCGCTAGTGCATTATGCAGTAGTAGTCCCCTTATTCCTTTATTAGGTGTACGCAAAGATATTTCGTAACCGAGTAGCGGCTTTTGCTGTTCAAAACAAAAACGGAAGGGCACGCTACACGGGTGCATTGTTCTGAAGGAGGGCAGTACGGCTACATAACGAAGGGTCGCGTTAGTCCATTATGTCGACTTATTCGTTTATTAGGTGTACGCAAAGATTTTTCGTAACCGAGTAGCGGCTTTGTCTCTTATATGACTGAGCACTCAGGTAGGGGGCTCAACACATGTGAACACAGTAGTAGTTAGCAATGGTTATAGGTAAAGAGAGTAAAAAAAACACAAGCGGTAGGGCACGTTACACAGGCAGATTGTTCTGAAGGTGGGCAGTATGGTTGAATAACGAGGGTCGTGATAGTTCATTATATCTACTTATTCGTTTATTAGGTGTATGCAAAGACTTTTCGTAACCGATTAGCGGCTTAGCCTCTTCAAAGGATTTTGTAAAGCATTGTTTTGTCCTCAATAGATTGGAAACGGCGTCGAGCTTAAAACACCTCTTTTTGTGCAGCGTTTACCAGGATTGGGCGCCGGTCAAATGGAAGGGCAAAAGAAAGTTCTTTCGGCTCAGGCTTAGCTATTTCGATTAAAACTGAGTAAAATTCAGTTGAACATGTTTTTAAGCGGTAAAGAAGGACTACGAAAAATACACTACGAAAACAAAAACGCCATAAATAGCTATAACATATAACGTTTCACAATATTTTAAAGAAAACTTATTTAACGCGATGCAGAGTGACCACATAAAAAAGTCCCCTTATAAATGATGTTACAATTTTATATTTTGTAAGAAATATTGAGAAAACGCTTTCCCAACAGAATATAGAATTAAGTCATGAAATTAATCATATAAGTAAGTCATACGCGGAAACAATTTAGAATTTTCTCCTCACTTTTTATGGCCATGTAGGCGGCAACAAGTTTTTCGGTCAACGATCGTTTACTAAACTGCTACTGTAAACATCGCAATAGGCAAACATTCGATACGATACGATATGGGCTTTGTTTGGAATGTTGAACTTCTTTCGGAATTGTCATCGGTTTTAAGAAAATTCTTTTACTGCATATATTTTATCGGCTGATTCTTGCCCTTATCCATAATCTGTTAAATTATTGAAAATGTTTCTGTTGTTAACGGTTTCGTCGTAAATCGGTCGAAACAAAATTCGCGAATCAATCGAAAACATTCGTATTAGAAGCATCGCAACAAAAAAAGTTGCGAAAGCAACAGCTTTGTGAGTGTGAAACTAAATTTATTTCTTACATGAATTTTTCTACCATTAAATCCATCCCTAGCACTTTCCCTCCAGAAAGTGAACTTCAGTTTTGGCCATTTTTCGCCTTTGATGGACAGCGAAGGATAACGGATATCATAAATGTTAATTTTTGTCTCTTGGAAATTTGGATTTAGTTAGGTTTCGAAATCACCGATGGATGAGAGATATATTCATTTTGTCAAATGGGTTACAACGCTTAGAAGGGATGATCAGAGACCTCACAAAGCATATATCTTTTTGATCAGCATCAAAATCGGATGAGATTTAAACATGTCTGTCTGTCCGTCCGTGTAAAATTGGTTTGTAAACATTGAAATTTGACAGAAACATGTGGAAATTATTGCACGTAAGTTGGTATTGAAAATGCCTTAAAGCGGTCGAAGGGCCGTTCGCCTGTAGTTCTACGTAAACTGAGAACTGCTTTGCTTTGCAAAAGAAATCAAAGATTGGCTTTCTGCTGTGGTCGCCTTCGCAAAAAATAAAGTATAGGCTACAAAGTTACAGAAGAGTTTGAAAAAGACGCAAGCAGGTCAAACGAACCGCCTTCAACGCCCACATATCTATATAACCGACACTGGAGACATGTTTGCTTTTTGTGGTTTTTGCTCGTTACACGTAATCTACAACAGAAACACGATATAAATTTCGCCAAATCTATTTTACAAGAATATCAATACAATAGAAAAAATCGGCCGCTTTCACCCAATCTTATCGATTATGAAAATTTAGTTCTCTTCGTTTTTTTAAATTTTTTTTTTTTAGGATAACAGTGATGGGTGTCTATCGAATATAATTCTTTTGCTTGTCAGTTCTTCATCATACAATACAATTGCTCTGCCGTAGTACAATAACTACAATTAAAATTAACTAAAACTATATACAAGTGGATAATGCAATCAAGCTAATAAATGTGAAGCGTCTACAAGTATATTCTGGAATCAAACGATTTTATTTTCTTAATTCTTTTTATTTTACAATAATTTTCTTGGTAATCTTGTCTTTAAAAATACATTGATGTTGGGTCTGCAATATTCCAAAATACGCGATCGAAACATTTTCCTAGAGCAGTTTAATAGCGATTAATTTTCAATGTTATTTTGATATGCTCGATTTTCGACAGCGTTCGGCCAAAAAACTGCGGTTTGGTAGTAGAATTTTTGTCTGCTGTAAATCGAAGCAAATGTAAATCTGATCGAAATATATCAGAATCTCGCTGCCATATTCCCTGAAATCGGAGGGTTAGTATCAATCGTTTTTTTTTCTCCTTTGTTCATCAAAGGAGCAAAAATGGGCACTCACCTTGGCCTCTCGATGGGCTAAGACAGACGAGTTTCTACGTAGAGACAGGAATGAAGTAAATGTAGTCGTTCAAAAAAATCATTATTTAGTTTAGATTTCTTCCATTAAGACAGGTATTTAATCTAACCATTTAAACCAATACAATATTTTCACTTCCTACTTGCCAGTGTAGATAGACTTGCGGTCCATCTCATGAAAAGCTAATAAATTAATTAAGTAAATAATGCACAAAAAAAGCAGTAAATTGCAATATAAACACAATTTGACGAAAAATTTCCTTATATCATATTATTAATGTTTTAATTGTTGTTGTATTTGTCGTTGTCAGTCTCAGTTGTGTTTATGTTCATAAAATTAGTCAATAAAAAATTCATAAATATAAATATAATTTTAAAATCTTTTAATAAAATTTATGTAAATGCATAAGACCATTAATGTTGTTTTCGATTAAACGGGACTGAGTAACGTCCCGAACGAGCGAAGTTATTTGCATTGACATTCCGAAGATATCAGCAATAAAAACAAAGGTGGATTTGTAGATCTTTTATGCATTTTATATTGCAATTTAGCTTTATAAGGTACATGCCGTCAAAAAAGTTCTGGGAAAAGTTTTCTTGAACTTCTTTTAATCTGGATTATCACTAGCTAGCTTGTAGGTTGGTAGAGCTGCAAGTTAGCAATAGTTTTAATAGTCCAAAGTTTGCTGTCGCCCTTCAGTTTGAACAAAACTTGTTTCAAAGACTGCTCTGTCATTATGATTTCTTTTACGAAACGGCTTAAATTGCTATTCAGGATGAGTGTTAATGGCATTCCATCCAAATAGTCTTTCTTTTTTATGTCGGCCACTAGAGGATGAAGAGTATATTTAAACGTTTGCAACGCCCCGATGCAAGTTTCAAAGACGTCACAAAGTACACCCCGCCCTCCCTATAACGGGGTAGATTGCTTCCGCATTATAGGAAAACGCGTTATAGCGGTATTCCTGCATAACGCGCTTTTACGAGCTCGTATAACGCACAAATTTAATAAAGTAATTTAATTTTCTAATAACAAAATAGACACAAAGGTAAGCGAAGCTAATTATGAACTATGCAAATCATTATAAATTTCACAGTATAGAAATATGTACGTGGGAAATCCCCACGTTATATGGGGGAATGTCCGTGTTATACGTGGGATTGAAATCGCGTAATATGAAACCGCGTTATAGGGGGGATTATTGTGTATATACTCTTGACCAGCATCAAATTCTGAATCAAGTTGAGCATGTCCGTCTGTCCGTTTGTGTAATGTCTGCTGTAAATATTCTCCTGGCCGGAAAAACGAAGCCATCGACTTCAAATTTTAGCAGAAGCATTGGAGGCTATTGCACACAGGTTGATACTGAAAATGCGTTAAGCTGGTAGAAGGACAACCCTGCAGTACCAAGTAAACTAAAAACACCTCTGCTTTCCAAAACGAATGAAGAATTGGATGTCTGCTCATTACACATAAACTACAGCAGATATATCTACAAAAATTTGACCATATACTCTGTGGGCGATGCTGTAGAACAAATTGATCACGGCTACTCAATATTGTAGGGTATCAAAATTTAATTTTTTTTTTTTAAATCTTCGTAACACTTAGAAGCAAACTTCAAGAAACTCGTAATGTGTAAATTTTTGGCAAGTTTTAAATTTGCAATGCACCTGTCCGTCTGTCTGTGCAAGCTGTGCAGTATTTTTTGTAAACATTCTCCCGTTAGCGAAAGTGATGATATCGCCTACAAACTTTCAAAAGAATTTGGAACTGACCCAAACTTTTCAAGAAACACGTCCACAATGCGCATAAACCTATCCAACAAAAAATTTTGTTTTCCCCCATTCCATATTAAAGAGCATGAAAATCTAGTTCTTTTTTTTCTTTTTTAGGATAAGGTCGATGGGTATAAAAGACTCGGTCACGACCGAATATTATTTTCTTGCCTGTTTAGGTTAATATGGAGAAAAGTCGCTGCCTATGATTGAGAGGCGAAGGTAAAGCGCACATTAAGTGTCCTAAATTCCTTCATATTATTTAATTTAGTACAAGTCAATACTGAGGATATTATAATAATGTGGCTTTTTTCTATAAAGAATACTAAAGTGCGCATAGACTAAACATCGACTATCTAACTCCCAGCTTCTACAAGAGCAATTAGATTTATGTTATTATTAACTTAGTCAGAGAAGTAAATTCTAAGACTAAAGTCTTAAAGCACTATCATCTAAGGCTGTTGGCTAAAGCGATAGGTATCAATTTGACAACCTTACCTATTGAACGTTTGGCTATGTCAATTTCGAATTTCATTTGAAAATACTGGCATTTGCATTCGAAAACATTAAGCAATCAGTTTTGATAGTTGTTTGCTTGTATACAAAGTTTGGATGAATGGTGAGAAATGGAAAATTGCATCTTCCAGACCATCTCATTTTAATGACTGTGCTTCTGATTCCTGCAAACCTGAGGCCAATCAACAAAAAACATTTAGTTTTTTTTTTGGCAACAGCGATAGAATAATTCACCATATGGTCGTCACTTATACTCGTCATTTCCACAAATAAGTAAAGCCCCTTGGTTTATCAATTGCGGATGCAAACGTGACATTATTTGCCTTATTAATAGGCTGATGTTTCATGACACGAGATGTGATGATCATCTATACAAAATGAACTTAGTAAACATCCCTTTAAGTACATGCGGAGTCTTACTGAGTGTCCTGATCATATCCTATTTATTTGTCCGTATGTTACCAATTCTACCGTTCCACACTTCGGAAATTGTCATCAAGATATATAAACGTTTATATAGACTTGTTATGAGCCTGCTCTTTTTTACACTTTTTTACTCTCTCACTAACTCTCAACTTCTTCGTATGACACTTTATTTATACTCGTATACTAAATTACTTCTTACACAACGTTATTGACTCCTCGCTCTTCTCTTCTATCCTACGTAACGGACGAGCAATAAGATTATTTTAATAAAAATTTAAAAAAAAAAGAGAAAAAGAATAAGCAATAATATTATATATCAAATCTAACTTCAACTTTACTAAGGCTCAAACAAAGAACTATGCGTTCACATTGGCCTTTTTTATATACGCCAACTAATTGTCGGTTGTTAATTTGGTGAATAACACAAGAAGAAGAGGAAGAAATTAATTTTGACACCTGGATGTTTGTGTATAAAGTTTGAAAGAATGGTGAAAAATGGAAAAAGAGTATATTACATAAATAAATTGCTAAAGTGAAAATAATTGTAATTGCAAGAATAATTTACGTGCGCTTGACAACGCAACGAAAACAATTAAGGAGACTTACGGATTTCAAAATAATTTTAGCTGACATCGTGGAAATGCCAGTAATCATTCACATTACTGATCCCGACTTGAACACCATGCAAAGCCTCTTCAAGCGATATTAAGTTTGTTCTGCTCCGGAAAACCTTAGGTTTTATAATGTTTCTGCGAGGATTTCCTTGATTCCGTGCAATATTTCTTTTTTTTTTTTCCCTAAGCTCGAATTATCACCGCATCGGAAGCGATTTAAGCCGGTCAATGGGATAGAATAAAATTCCAAGCATAAAACGGTCCTTGAAAGTTGTTCAATGATTTCTATTCAGCGGTTTGTTTAAGCCCCGCTTGCGAACTTTAAAAATGAGCAAAGTGATCCAGGGATTGTTTTGCCACTATTCCTTATTTTATAAAGATGAACAAACAAAGCTACGTGTGGATTAGGTTTTTTTTATTTACTTTTTCCACTTCTCTTATGTTTATTAATAGTTTTTTCAACATTTTAACGTAAATTATTATTCATTTTGCTTTTCACAAAATCAATTTGATTTGATTTATTCACATACGAATATGATATGCGCACGTATAATGAGAATTAAATAAATAAACAAACGCTAGTAAACAGCAGGAATTCGTTTAGAATGGACAGTTTATAAATTTCAATTCGGTTGTTGATTTTGATTTATTCACTAGAAATGCAAAGAAGCGTCAAAAAAAAAAAAAGAACTAAATCTAAACAATATAGTATGTGAAAGAGAAAATTCCAAAATTTTGTAATCAGGAACGAATTGTACTCATGGAGATCTCTAAACAATATGCATAGCTTTTATTTTTTATAAGGTATGGTAATCGAGCGTGCCACGTTTATGTATATGTTTATCACTTTATGACGAAATGGAATATATATGCGACAAACTCCTGCCATATACCGAATACGAGCTGAACCTAGCCTAGGCGTAGCCTTATGCTTTTTATCCCACTTAAGCTCGCATAGGTGGAAGATTTTTTTTTTTTTTTCGAGTTGTCCTCGAATTTCGACTGCTTCTGCAATGGTAGAAATTAATCACATAGGGCTACATTTAATACATTTAGTTGGAGGAGAATTGGCTCATCGGTCATTACTTGCTTTCTAATCGTGCCACTCTACATTAAGTTACATTCGAAATATGACTGAACGTATGATTTATTTGAACTATCTGAACAAGGAGGAACGAATACATATGATTTTTGATCGAGTTTTTATCGCATCCTTTAATATAATTTATTCGAATATATAATTCAATAAAATTTTAACATTTTTAAGATAAAAAAGTTTAAGGATACAATTTTCATTTCAATTTTCTCTGCTTATAAGTCAGATGTGCGATGAATGAATGATCTCCATTTGAAGCCATATGTCAAGAATATTCAATATACCCAAATAGCGCACGCGATATTCTGATTTGTTGAAAGGTGTTTTCTTTTCATCGTCCATCACTTAAGTGACAGATTACATCCCTAGTCACTACTGATTTTAGGAAATATTTCATGTCCCCTAGCGTCCGGCTTGCAGTGATTTTTTTTTCCTCTCAGTAAAATAACATTTTTTAAAAAATAGTATAGAAGAGCTAAGGAGACTTTCGAACACTTAATTATGAGATCAGATAGATATCTCTATCTTATTGGCCGTTTTATCGCTTCACTAGACTTATCATTTACTATTACAATTATATTTTGCGATATTTTATTATAATAAGTGATTTTTTTTTTTGTTTATTACGTTCGATTTTAATTGTGGTGTCACACAAATTTATTTTTATGAATTTTTTTTGTTTCTAATCTATATCTAAAACAGGTTTCTGGGGATAATCCAGTTTTCGTTGAAAGTGTAAAGCCAGGTGGTGCCGCACATATTGCTGGCTTAGTTGCTGGAGATATGATCTTAAAGGTTTGTTTGTCAATAATAAAAAATTTTGTTATAATATTAGCAACAATTAAATTTTGCATTTGATTTTGTTATTATAATCGTTTGCAGGTTAACGGCACCGAAGTACGCTCGGAGAAACATCCAACTGTGGTTAGTTACATCAAAGGTGAGTTGAGAACGCTTTCATAATTTATTATAAGAAATAAATCTTTTGAAAGTCATTTTATTATACTAGCGATTTTTGATTAAGATTTTCTCAAAAATGTTGAGAGTAACACGTGGCCTTTTTAAATCAAATAAACATATGCTTAAGTTATGATTTCAATTTTTGAGACCGGTAGTAGTTAGAACAATTCGATAGAGAAGTAAACAATTGTACGAATAGGCATGCCACAGATATGGACGGATGGACATACAAAGTTGATTCATAGTCAAAAATATTACGACAATGTGTACATGTATATTGGCGTATATCCAGCAAGCTTCAGTAGTTTTCTTTTCTAGTTTTAACAACCTCAGAATGTGCGCGTATGTTTGTATATGTGTATACATATGTATATGTATAGACATATGATCTGTTGTCGTGTGATCTGTTTTTTTTGCTCCGTTTCATTTTCTGAGTTTGTTAAATTTAAAAAAAAAATCTGAAACTTCCTAGATATAATCCACTAATCAGCAAAAATTATTAATCGAGTTCAACAAATCAAATAACTCTTCTAAGACCCGTATATAGAACTTTGTGTTCACATTGGGGCTTTTTTCCAGATCTCAACGAATCTTTGGTTTGGTTTGATTTGCTGAATAACAGAAGAAGAAGAAGAAATATGATGACTTTTTGTAATTTCTCTGGCATTCTTTATAGAACTTCTGACATTTTGTGGCAAAAAAAAGAGCCAAAGGGTTTTCACGGATTTGTTTTGGAGATCGCTTTTATTGCGATTAGAGAGCGTGAAAAATGGTACGCGAAAGAGATCTTACTAGCTGTCCCAATTCATAGTGAATGAAGACGTGCGCGCTTTAATTGCCTTAGTTATTGACTGTAGAGAATAAAATAAACTGTCTTGTCGGGTTGGATTAGCTTATGATGTATGATTGCCTTCCAATCTCACAAAACACCTTGACATCTCTTGTGCACCTTCGTCTAGTTTGGGCCACGATCTCTTTCGCACATTATTGTCGCATACGATCTATTTTTAACTGCGCGTTAATTGTCTCGCGAAATATGGCTCAACTTCGTTCAGCAGCGAATCGTAGGTGAATATTCGACCCATTAAATTTTTTTATATTAATTCATGTAGCACCCATATAGGGATATGATTCAAGAATGTCTTGCCGTCAATATTTAGTTCCGCAGCCGATCTTAATCTTTTGAAGAACTTCATTGACTTTATCAAAATCTGATTGAGAAAAGCGTTTCTTGTCCCTAATATCGAAATTTTCAAGATGGAAATAAGTAAACCATTCGCATATTGCCACGAGTTTTTTTACAAGCCTGTGTAGAGTGATCACTTTGGCAGAAGTGATATCGTGTAATACAAATTATGTGAATTGTTAACGTTTGCATCTGGCGTGAAGCCTCAATCAGAAGGGTTCCCTAAACCGTTCAAATTGTGATTGTATATACCACCTTCCACCGAGGTTTCTTATATGATATGTTGTACGCAAGCTTTCTCCAGAGAAATCTAGCAATCGATAAATATACCCGTTGAAGCAACCCCTACTCGGCTAAGTAGGTACACGTGACATTGACTTTACTACATGATGCATTAGAATCATTGGCATTAGGTGTGTCATCATGTTCAACAAGTCCACACTTGCATTCGGATTATCCATAGTTCCAAGGTAGCCAACCTACTGTTCTCCCCTTAGAATTTATTGTACAAGGAAGTAATCAACTTAGCATACCCATACACCTAGCCTAAAGTTATTTCTGACGCAAAGCATCAAAAGTGAGAACTATTTCCCAAAACGCTTAATAAGAAAGGGTTTGGAGCATGCAAATGGTGTACTTGCTCTTAATTTTGGACAAAAAATTTGTCCCTATTTTGTATGAAAGTTCATTACAAATTCTGAAATTCTCACCTCGCAGTCATGTAAAAACCTGTTCAGGGGATTAGACAAAACGAAAAGTTGAACCTAAATAAACGAAAGAAAAAATGAAATTATGAAAAGCTAAGGAGGAATAGAAACGCGAATTTCAAAGACAGCGCCATATACGACCCTGACATCAGAACAAAAACTTTGTTATATATGAGAAAGGTTTGTCCTAAACATGAACGTAAGTCTATGATGCAAGAACATGAGCCCAAAAAATTCATAAGGAAGAGTTTCTTTCTACCCCTCAGTGTGGCCGAATTAATTACGATCCGGTCAGGGTAGGGTATGAGCTTTTCCTCTCTCCCTCCTTACTTCTTTTGTGCCACAAGACTTCCTCTGAGCGATTGGTCATTTTCAACCCTTAAATGCATAGAGACGTAATTGCAATCGTTTATGAAGTCACCCACTCTATGCTATCTTTAGCAAAGCCCCCCCTCTATATCCATTAGATTATATTCTGAATCTTCTTTGTTGTTGACCCAAGACCCCAGACACTCTCGAAGACTCTCTCCAAGGAAAGGAATCTTGTTGCCGAAGAAACCGTGTAATACAGCAATTTTATTTTAATTATAAACGGTAGACATTGAATCAATTATTCCACTGCATGTATGTATGAGGGTGTATACTGCCGGTTGGGCAGAGTTGCACAAGTCAGTTGTAGGCATTAGAAAATTTGGTAAAATTGCAATATTACTTGCCCGTCCAGTCCTATTTGAATAGATTGCTTAGAGACATAATATCGAAAATATTAGGTAAATAAGAAAGTGAAGAAGAAGCAAGGATTTGAGCAGTCTAATTAAATAAAAGTTAAAGAGAGATTAAATCATTTGCAAGAAAATTTTCAGAAAACGAATTACGATGTTTTCCTTTCCATCGTCGTTTCCCAAGCATTTATGTGTATTTATGTATAGCGATTGTATGTATACATAAAATTGCGAATGCATATGCAAAAAGTGAACTTTAAGAATTGAAGCAAACAAATTACAATGAGCCCAACAAAACACACATACAACTATCAATCATTTAGCACAACATAGAACAATACTGAAAAAAATATCAAAGCATAATAATATACAAGCATGGCATGTACAGGAAAAGCAACGAGAACAGCGAACCCGACACCACTGTACCTACATAAAGAGTACAAAGATAAACAAGTGAATAAATGAATTTAATCACTTATTAAAATAACAACACAAACAAAAACGAAAGAAATGCAAAAAAAAAACAAAATAAAAAAAGAAGAAGAATAACGGAGTCAAAGAAAAGGGAGACACGCTTTATATACCAGTTGGCATCGAATATGGTCATATCCTCCGGTAAAATCGAGAAGAAAGCGAATTGGCAAAGTTTCAAATTTTATTGACTTATGGACTGGAAATTAATTTAATGTGTCTAGTGATTGTGCTTTAATTGCTAACTCTATACTGGGATTTCCTAACGCACACAATTTACCAATTGTGTCAAACACAGCGGCATTTCTGCTCATCTTCACTAATCCCATGCGCATTATTCGCTTACTTTATTTGGGAATCGGTTAAATTACTCTCTCCTTAACAGATTCGACTGCAAAATGGAAAACATCTCCAGCTTATATCTAATTTATAGAAGTCAAAGATATTATTCTAAACATAATCTGTTGAATTAATTATTAGCGACATCTTTATGTAAACGATGCCAAGTTTTCGCTCTATGGAGAAAAACTCTCATGCCAATAGAAATATGAAAGATATGAAAGCCCGTATGGAAAGCAAATCAGAACAGGGCAGAATACTAACTAACATTGCTACAAACATATTTATGTGAGAAAAACAACACAATTAGCATTTACATTAATAATTCACTGAGTGAATTAAAAAATTTTTTTATTACGAAAATAATTTTTTACATTACTTTTCCTTATTATTGTTATTTTTAGCGAAGTGAAGTCAAGTTAGAAAAGCGATATCGTTTTCATCAAACTCTTTGACCGAACTCAAAGGACTTGCAATAAAAACAAAAGTGTTACTTTGGAGTTAACACTTACCTTGATTGACGTTATAGAATCGAGAGATCATTCGTTAAAACAACAGGTTTAGTTTTCAAGACAGGTTTGGTCTTCTAGACTGTTTCTCGAATTCAAGTCGAGTGATTTTTGGATTTTTATCATCCAAACTCCTTGGCCGAATTCAAAGGAACTGCAATGAAGAGAAAAGGGTAGCCTTGGAGTCTCTACGAACGGTTGACACTTACCTTAATTGACGTTATAGAATAGAGAGTTCGTTCATTGTAACCGCAGGTTTAGTTTCCAATTGGTTCTGTAGATTGTTTCTCGAATTCAAGTCGGGCGACTTTTGTACATTTATCCATCAAAGATTTCTTTAAATTAAGTTATTGCATAAATTATAATTTTGACTAATGAATACCAGGATTAGACCAAACTTTGAATACAATTTCACATTTATTTTCGTGATAAAATACTGCCAACTATAACTTGGTTTTACCTAAAGGCATACTTTTTATGGAAGAAGACGCAAAATGTGAACTAATCTGGGCTAAATTTAGCAAAATCCAAATTTTTGTCAAAGATTTTTTACTTGTGTCTCTTAGTCTATTAATTTTGTTGATATATTTATTGTATATAACTTTAAGGCGTGCCCTCACACGGTATGGTGTCCGGAAAATAGATCTACATACTCCAAATAAACTACAGTTCATTGCCAAGTTACTATTACGGACCAATTACCATTGTAAAATATTAGAAAGTTTACTCTTTTGATGTATATAGAATTTTCATCAGAACCATTGTGTAAGGTGGAATACAAAAGATAGGTCTATGTACTGCAGATTTGATATAAATGGTCTTTATGTTGGAACTTCTTTCAGTATTAAAAATTAGGCTCTTTTGCCACAAATATGAAAGCCTACCGTCCATAGGAATGATTATATAAGAGGGGCTTTCAGCTTCGTCTGATCCAAATTTTTCACATCAAGTTACTATGCCAAGAACTTTTCACTCAGCAGCACTTGTCGAGAATTGCAATTTTCTTTCAACAATTTTTCAAAGAGAAACATTAAATCGGGTGTGGTCGTAAAAGTGGTTCGATCAGATCCACTTCCAACAGGACATCTCTCTTGGCCGCAACACGTTCATAAACCGAATTTCGTCGAAATATCGTGAAAAAAAATTTAACATATTCGTTAAGGCCAAGTACACATGGATAGATATCCGGTGGAAGGACATAATTAAATCGACTCAGAAAATTATTCTGAATCTATCAAGATAAAAAATCTGCGGTTTACCGCATAAACATAATCTGCTGGTAGTGTAGAGTGTAATAGCTTTTCGTTTTATCCTGAATTTCATTTAAATATTTAATGATTGGTCGTGTAAAGGTGTTCAGGTGATTTATCGTTCTCGTAAGCAATCCTTTTTTAAAATTATACACTTAGAGCAATGAATAATCGTAATTTGTTCGAAACGATAAGTAAGTGAAAATAATTGAAAATTCATACTTTTTTCCCTTACTCTGTCATGCTCTGATTTTTAACTTTTGTCTTAGTAGAAAGAAATATCAACCAAGAAAAGGACGCACAGTTTAGGAAAGAACTGCAGTATTACTTAAAGGACTTTTTTTTCGGTCGTGTTAGTTAGCGTTGTTCAATAACGTTTTGAAATCATTTTACATGAAATTCTCATATATAATAAAAACATAAAAAATGTATCCAAGTGTGGACACAATATTAAAGAATAAAACAAAAAAGTGTACGTTAATGTAAAGATAATATAAGAAATTTACAAATAGAAAATATATAAATAAGAAATAAGAACAAGTGAGAGAGTTATATTCGACTGGGGCAGAGTTTCGCAAACCCACTACCATTAAAATCTTTTTCGAGTCATGCTCTAGGAAATTTTTGTTTAGAAAAACAGAGTTGCATTCAGTTCAGACCTGTGCTCCGATTAATTTTGACCATTTCCAATACCAACCTGCGTGTGAAAAGCTTCCAATGTTTCTACAAAATTTGAATCCGACATCTTTAGTTAGTGAACAGGGAAGTGTTAACAATACCCACCACACAGACGGACAGACACAGCTAAAACAATTCAAAAGTTCATGCTGATCACTTTATAGCGTCTCTGAAGCTTTCTTTGAGGTCTTGCATGCAATCTACCAAATGACTACATCCCATCCTCCTTCAGTGTAGGATACAGAAATACTAGATTGACAACAATTTATCGATAAAAATGAATTTGTTTAACAAATTTCGGGTAATGGCACAGCTAGAAATACTCATATTTTTCGCAAAAAAAATCAAACGATCTGAAGTCTTTGTTTAAATCGAACGACATTGTGTCTAAGAGAACGAGAAGGTTGATGAAAGCCAAACAAATAAACAATCTCAGGCCGGCTGTAGCATCTAATAGGATCCCTGCGACGGAAACCCATCAAGGAGAAGGAAGTCATCGAGAGTTCTAGGAATCGTCCGCTTGCACATTTCTTTACTAGGCAAGCAGCTACTGTGGAAGCTCAAAGTTTACGAGTTATTGAGAGGTCCGGAGAAGTTGTAATGTGATTAGGCGCCTGCCATTGCTGGATTGGTATCTGCTTCTTGTACATAAAAATTCCCTGTGGGAAAAGTTAAATGGCAATCCAAGATGAAGGGATAATCCAAATGCCATGTAATGCCGACAATCCAAAGGCATCATAGTCCAAACTATAGGGAACACGGAGGTCTTGAGCCGAAGCTCTGACTTTGACAGCGTTCTTGCCTGCTGGGCTGTGCCTAAAAGCAGACGTATTAAATAATTAGAAGTGCAGAGGAAAGGCCTCGCCCTGCCCAGAGGGATAGATAGGATTCATTCCCAAATTTTCATATCTGCTATTTCAGCTCGGTACAGGGTCTCTAAGTTGCAGGGTCGTCTTGCTAGTTGCAGGGTGTAAGATGTCGATGGGACTTCGTCCTACAGCTAATATATGTCTCTGCAGTGGCTCAACGTAGGGAATGATAACTGAAGCATTCTCAAAAAAAACCGAATCGTGTCACGAATAGAATCAGTTTTGTGTCTCCCTGAAGCTCCATTTCATCAATACCTGATAGTAGGTTGAGTGATTTTGCAATGCTACCGGCCAGTGCAAGTAACCCTATAATCATCTCTATCTGCCATTCACACGAATGCAATTAGAGTAAATGTAATTTATATAAAGCTAGAAACAAAACGAGAAAATTAGTATACTTTCATCTTCCGGTGATAAATTCGTAAATTATTTTGCCCTGCATATCTTTATATCCTCTCTATGCATTCAAGTTTTATTTATTCGTCTACTTATCACTTTTGACTTCAATTTTTTCTTTGTCGCGTATATTTTTGTGATAAAACTGAATATATTCACATATTTTATACATAAACACCAGCCACACACCACATATAAACATTATGTATGCGTGAATGCATACACAAGAAAGTTCGCGTATAATCAATTAAAGCATATACATATGCATGCGGATACTATGTTTGTTTTATAAGTTCAGCATTTGTAAAAGTTTTCTTCTGGCTACGACAACTACCAACAACATTCTTAGCAATAATTGTGCATTATAAGGTTTCAACGTTTCATGCAAATAATTTGAGGCAAGAAATTTTGAAACCTGAGTTAATAATTCTAAATAATTTTAGAAGTAATAAATAATAATAAAAAAAAAAAAGAAAAAAATTCAATAACTAAATTAATTTTTTTCACTTTTTTTCAGCTTCAACCGTTGTGGAGTTGGCTGTTAAACGTAGTCAAAAATTAGCTCGACCCACTTCGGTAGGCGTTGTGCCGTCAACACCTGTTCTGTCTGGTAGAGATCGTACAGCTTCAATTACTGGACCTCAACCCGTTGATGTATGTCTAAAAAAAAAAAAAAAAAAAAATTGTGAAGAAATGAAAAAATTTTTTACTAATGAAATATTTTTCTATAGAGTATAAAACGTCGGGAAATGGAAACGTACAAGATACAAACACTTCAAAAAATGTTGGAACAGGAAAAATTGAATTTGGAACGTCTTAAAGGTGATACGAATAATCCGAGTTATAAACTTTCAGAAGCGAATATACGAAAATTACGTGAACAGCTGCGACAAGTTGGTGCTGAGGTATGTGTGTGCATTTTATTCGTTTCATCTTGCTATTTGCCTTAAATATCTTTTTTGAGTTTTTCAAATTTCTATTCCTATAAAATTGGATGCATAAGCTCGTCTCTTTTTTTTTTTTTAACTCCTTACTCTGTTGCACTTAAGTTTACGTATCTCTACATAGCCAAGTGGTTTTTTTTTTTTTTTCGTAATATATCTGGATCAAATTGGAATTTCATTTTGAAGAGTTAGTTCTTAGTGTTGTGTAAAAATTTCTCATAAGTTATTCTCTCCAAGGGACCTTTATCATTTCCACCAAAATCACCAAAAAAAAAAAATAAAAAAATAAACTGGAATTAATTATAATTAATTGCTTCAAACTAAAATAAAAATTCATTTTCTTTTTCCGCCAAATAACGCGTAACCAATTAATGGGTGGTGGTTGTCGCCCCTAAAACGCCTTGTCTTTCAGTTCAAATTATCATTAGCAATATTTTTTCATGTTTAATAAATATATTGTGATTTTTCTTTTGCTTAATTCTATTTTTTAAACAAGTTTTGCTTTTAAAAACTTTATAAATTATTTGCATTTTGTTACGAGCATATATAAAAACTTTTTTGGTTTTCTTAAATACACCAGCTCCTTATTCTCCACAAGACTTGCAAACTTTTTCTAAGGTTGCCTTATCGCGCTAAAAGTTCCCCTTATGCAAATCCCGCTTAGTTATATATGCACACCCGTATATACAGCATTCACAGTTTGCAAAAGTAATTCCAATTGCTTTCCAATGGCTAACGGAAGGATGATGTTTCCATTTCCACTACGCTGAAATCGTTTTAGTAACTGGTCTATGGAATTTAGATTTGCTCGACAGCTGCTCTTCGAACAAGACAGTGGCGATGAGCGCATTTTCACAAATTTCCTTTTTTTGCTCCTTCTCCATCACTATCAATCGCAAGCATTGACTGATACTTGCAAGAAGGGAATGTAAACTATTTTCTTATTAGCACGTAACATACCACTTTTGTCTCTCCATGTATGAGTCGGCAATTAATTGTCTTGTTCCGAATGAAGATAAATAATAAAACTTGCTCCACTTTTTGTGATTGCTACAATTCTTCAGTGAGTAAGTAATTCTCAAAGCGATTCTACGAAAATATTTAATTTTCATAGTCGATTAATTCGATTCTGGATGGCTTAGCTCCGTCGAATGTGTAGTTTCTCTTTTCTTTTTCTCCCTTTTTATAGCAACAAATTTTGAGAAAAATCAAAAAGTCATTTATTCTTAATCTACAGGATGCACCGCAATCTGTAAAATATCAGTCGACGATTAACAATCTAAAAGCACAACACCATCACTTGTCTGTGTCCTCTAATACTACCACTACCACTTCTCCTTTAGTCACAAATACACAGTTCAATCATGCTCACCTTAATCTTCATCATCATCAAAACCACCACCACCATCATCATCACGGTCAAGCTGTCACTCCACAACCACAACCACCACAGTCTTCTCCAGCTTTTCTATCATTGTTACCACGTTCGCTGTCTTCTTTATCGTTGGGTGGTCGTAAAAGTAAAATTGATAAAGATTTGATAGCGCCGTTAAATAATACCACGGATTTCCTGCAGACATCGGTGGCGTCAGCGATGCTTGCTACTGGCTCGCCAATTGCAGTGACATCGTCACATGCGCCACCTTCTTATAGTATGTCACAATCTTTACATACGCCTTTGCAGACGCACCTGCAAAGGAATTCAGCTCAACAATTATTCCATTTGCATCAACAGCAATTGTTACAACAACAGCAGCAGCAGAATCGTAGTACACCCAAAACAAGCGGAAAAACTAAAAGTAAATTTACCTCCAAAGCAAAAAGTTTAATTGAGGAGGACATTCCACCGCCATTGCCACAAAGAAATGCATCGCGACCTTTACAATTGGATGTGGTTAACAATACTGTTCCATCTATTCCATCCGCAACGGTTTCACCTATTTCGGATTTAGATCACATGACCGGTACTTGTTCGCCTCTGCGCAATTCCCCTCAGCCTGTATCGAAATCAAATTCGCCGCAAAATGTTAGTGGCAGTAGCTCTAATAAGGGCAAACGTTCAAAAGTGAAAACAAAAGCTTTATCTGATCCCAAAATGTCCACACAGATATTTTTGCAAATGGAAGGTGGCGCTGCCAGCGGTTTATGCAACAATGACCAAATGGGCGGCCCGCTAGAGGATGATTGCACACCACCGCCGTTGCCACCACGTCAACCGGGCATGCTGGATGAAATACAGAAGGGAAGCTTTCAAAATCTGAATTCTTCTTCTGTGGGTCGTCCATCACCGAACAGTGTTGATACTTTAATGCAATACCCGTTAGTAGCTACTTGCACTCCCGTGCAACGTGATAGTATGGCTGCGGCTTTTCCTTTATCGCAGCGTCCAAATATTGTACAGCAATTACAGCAACATCAACAGCAGCAGCAGCAGCAACAGCAACAATTGCAGAACAGTGGTGCTGGTGGCTGCCGCGATCCTGCCGTAAGTACATTTTAAGCATCAGCTTAACCTATGGGTTCTGTGCGTATCGAATTTTAAGAGCATTCTTGGCAAAGTTTTTCGGTTTTGGGGACATTTTTGGTCTTTATCTCCCTAAATCCAATAAAAAGTTTTCTAATACTAACGTTGGAAAAAATGATTTTTGCAATTTTAAACGCCTTCCCTTTCATGCTTTATCTGAATTGTACGCACATCTCTATTATCATTAATTCATTAAAAAAAAAACCTGTACATGCGATCATTATTTTTAAAGATATTAATTAATTCGACTCCATCTGTATTTAATGGCCATCTCTCATGAAAGCAGTACATTTTGTGAGTTAGTTAATTCCCACACATTAAATCAAACTATTAAATTTTGATTGTATGATTTAAAAAAACAAACATATAAAAACGGTATGGTGGGACAAAGCCCACCATTAAATACCCTATACCACTTTCCCTGATAAAGGTATTCCATATCACGAATTTTCAAAATAACATATTATATGGAATGTGATCGATCGAAAGTGATGCGATCCGATTCATTTTCAATCGCATTCATACTTGAACACAAGGAAACAAGACGGACAGAGGGACATACAAACTGAAGATTAAGAAAATGATGCTGACTACGTTGTTAAAATAAAAAATGTGTCTCTATCTCAAATCCTTCTGGGTGGTACAAACATCCACATAAACTTAGACATCCTCGTTCAATAAGTGGTCTAGGGTTTTGAAAATTCTTACAATTTTTTTATTTTGATTACAAGTAGACAATCGTTTCAATTTTCTTTTAGAATTCTATAAATTTAGTCTAAGCAGCAAACATTATACCACATGGTAATAATAAAAATGTTATTATTATTTATGGCAACATATTTGTTAATATGCATGTGCTATTTAAGCCCTTTGGTATTTAGTTTTGTAAACTTTAAAATGTCCATCTGGTACTAATTCATTGAAAATTTTTAGGTACTGAGTCAGACGTCGCATAATTTGAACCATATGAATAAACATAGGCGGGTAGTATCCTCGCCAGACAACATTCACACGAGACATTCCGGTAAGGAAATAACTAAGAAAAAACCAAATTTCAATTCAATACTTTTCGCATTTTTAAAGAACGTCAAATAAAAACCAACTCGGGCTCATGGGAATTGATTGAAAAAGACGACGAATCAACGCCACCAGGTACACCGCCACCGCCATATCGTCACGCACATTCGGCCAGCATGTCGGGCAACGAGGAGAGCATTCATGAACATGTTGGCGCTGGAATTTTTGTAGAATCTCATAATTTTGCATTGACGACTGGGGCTACGCCTCCTCCACCTCCCCCACATTCCAATCGTATACAGAGCGCACAATCGAGAAGTACACAAAAAGAGATTATTTCTATGGAGGATGAGGATACCTCGGATCACGAAGGGCCATTCATTGATGAAAATGGTCCTTTTAATTCGTTGCAAAGACTTTTGGAAGCCGATAATGTGGCCTTTTTAGCGGTATTTTTAAATTATGTTTTATCAAATTCGGAACCAGCTCCACTATTATTCTATCTTATCACGGGCCTGTACAAAGAAGGCACAGCCAAAGATATGCGTAAATGGGTTTATGAAATTCATTCGACATTTTTGGTACCACGCGCTCCGCTTGCTTGGTATCGTCAAGATGAATCGTTGGCCCGCGAAGTGGACGCAGTTTTGCAAAACGAGGCTGATAAAGTAGAAATTTTGCGTAAAGTATTTTGGAAAAGTCGCAAAAGAGCACGTGATATTATATGCGAGCAGCTAAGAGAATTTCAACAAAAACGTACAGCCGGTTTGGGGACCATTTATGGGCCAACCGACGCCCAATTGTTGGAGGCGAAGGGCGATAAGCAGAAGGAGCAGCACATCTTTGAAGATACCCTAATGAAGAAATTGCAAATTCTAGTGTAAGTTTCCTTAAGCAAAAATATATATATATATATATATATATATTTGCACTTTGACAAAAACAGAAGAATTCAAATGATTGCCTTTGTTTTCTTCTAGGGAAGAATATGAAAAGGATATAACATTAGAGGAGCCGAAAAAATTAGCTCTGTGCTCGGCTTTATCAACAGTAATACATCGCATTTTTATAACACGTTCGCATCCAAATAGCATTATTGATCGTGTCCATCATTTTGTAAGTCGCGAAAAAAGTTTCAAGTCACGTCTCATGGGCAAAAAAGGAAAAGTAATAAAATTTCTAATAATACTTATTGTGTTTTTTTAACGATTTATTAACATCATTATCATCTATCTATCTGTTTTCTTATAGATGATTGTGCGTGGTCATCCTTTGGTATTGCGTCAATACTATGAAGTGACTAACTGCAATCATTGCCAGACTATTATATGGGGTGTTAGTCCACAAGGTTTCCATTGTACAGGTACAATTCTTTCCTTTCGTTGCAATTTGCATAAAAATGTCTAATACAAAGAATTTACGAATTTATGACTTATTCTTATTGTAGACTGTAAATTAAATATTCACCGTCCTTGTTCGAAAGTTTTAGACGAAAGTTGTCCTGGCCCAGTACCACCAGTTAAACGTAAAGAAAAAGACTTACATAATGATAATAAGATTAGCAAACTAATGGGCAAAATACGTCCGCGAACCTCAACCGATTTAAGTGGAGGTAAATTGATTTAGATTTTAATTTAGATCTGAATTTTAATAGAATTCCTATTTTTTTGGTTTGTTCTTTTTCTTTTCAGATAAACGTCGTCCCGATCCTGATGATCTTGATCCTGCAGATTCTCCTAATGGTGAGTTAAGCATTTGTTACTCTTTTATTCGATACCAAAAGATGACAATATTGCCTTGTTAACTAGCAGTTAGGCAGATTTGCTCCACGAAGGAGTCCAATAACTTATTTTTTTGGTTTTGAAATCAAATAGCAAAGAATAGGGAGTTTCTGCCCTTTAAGCAACATTTGGTTTTCATTCCCTTCACTTATAACTTTAGATTGCAAAAAATTTTTCATTTCTCAATCCGTCCATCATAGAAGGTACCATCAGGAAGGTGTAGTAGAACGTCGCATATTTTTTTGACGAAGGAATATGTATTGTGTCAGCTACAGCCACTTAAGCGGTAAGAAAGAAATAAAAATTAAGATAGAGAATATAATATGAAATATAAATCGGACCTGAGAAAACACGGTCTCTCTGGCTTGGCGCTGACTATTGTAAGGGCAGGATTCATTATTTATACGATAGTAAAGTGATATTTGAAATTGGGCTGCTCAGAATTTTATACCCGATTTCATCTTTAAAGAATGACTTGATATGATCATCAGAATAGGACAACCGTAAGTGTGTGAAAAAACATAAATATTGCTTGTGAGCATTCAATTAATTTGAAATCGAAGCATAGCTTAAACGCAAATGAAGTCAGTTTTTTCTGAATTATTCACTACATACAACTTCTTTGGGCTCCATGTGTCATGTGGGGATATTTAAGAAAATTAATTTTGCCAAAACTTCAGCAAATAGGTATACCGTCTGTAGGGAGTTGTGGTAGCCGTGTAGAGTTTCTGTTCCTAAGAGCCTTCATTTAACTCGCTTTCGTTCCCATGACAATGAAATGTAATACAATTTCACTGTACACTGGAACTATCAATCAATACTACCTACATTTCTGCAGCCGGATTTCGTACACATTGCTAAGCTTTTTTGTATATTCACAAAAAGGTGGCTCGGAAGGAAAATTTGTTTTCCATTTTTTTAGTTCGTTAGAACAAAAGCTTATTTAAGAACAAATTTTTATGCAATTTATATTAAATAATTTTAATTTTCCATTAAAAAATCGTTTTGATTTTCAAAGTTTTATCAAAAGTCAGAAGAAAACTTTGCAACATCTTCGCGAATAATGTAAAGACTTGCAACAAATTGAGTTTAGCTGTCGAATTTCCGCAAGCTAGTTTCTAAGAACTTTGAAGCAAACGCCATCTTAAAATACAATCTTGCGTTGACTGATAGTTAACAAAGTTTAGCATGTGGCTCAGTGAGCACATTGCTAGTTTAACCGTTTCTTGTTCTTCTCTTCTTAAAGAAATGAATAAAGAGATGATTGACTAATTTAAACGAAAATTGACTTTATATGCAGACGGGAAAAAATGTTTCATTTTTACAATTTTTTTTGGGTTATTTATATGTCATAAGAAACATTAAGATGCTAAATATTCGTAAACATATTCGATGAACGTGGACATTAGTTCTCAAATATATATTTGGTAGCAGAAAAAGGAAAACAGTTAGCAGAAGGCAAACTTTTGCTGCCCTTTTTCAAATCATATATCTGAAGAAAATATAACCGTAATTGCTGCTTGAAAACGTTTTCATTCTACAATGATTTTTGAAGAAGGCTTTTCTATTTTAATTTTGTTGTAGAAATAGAATATTTCTGATAGTCAGAAGAACTCTAACTATTAAAATAACTACAGAGAAACTGATAACGCAATTGGAGTAGGTAAAGCAGCTTGTCGCGCGCAGTCACCTTAAAACTAGCCTCATCTATCATTTCCATTTGCAATGTAAAGGAATTTTCGATGAACCGAATCATTAATAACGCTTCTTTTTGTTTATCATATTCAAAGTTTTCATTCCTTTAATATTTTCCTAATTTTGAACTGAATCTTATCCGGAAAATGTTAAACTACAAATTGTGAGAAAAATATAGTCATAAAAAACTTTACTCGTTAAAAGTTTTTTATAACAAGGAAGTTAATTCGCACTTATTTGACTTGAGTTTGTTTCAATTCCTTTCGTTCTCCCTTAAATTTCCTTTGCAAAATACTCTTCGGTAATTGTTATGAGAGAGAAAAGTAAAGAGAATTTCTTTTCTTATCGAACCTATACAAAATAGCTATATATTCACTCACTACTTTTACACAAAGCAGCAATATGAAACAAACAAAAAAAAAAACGCCATCAGTGTGTGGAGAAATTGAGAAAATATGATGCCAAAATAGCAGAGCATAAAATGTCTGAAAAGAATAGTATCTTGAAAAACGGCAAGCAATTAAGTTAAGGTGTGCGGAGATTGTTCTGATTATATAGTGCGATGAAACATTAAAGTAAATCTTACTATGCATTTATAAAAAAAAAAAGTAAATAAATAAGAAAAAAATCAAAAAAAAAAAAAAAAAGAAAAATGTAAGAAATTTGCGCAGAGATTTATTTCAATCATTTGAAATAAACAAGAAGACGTTATCAAAAATTTGTTAAATAAATTAAAAAAAATAAATAAAATCCATCGCACTCTGCTCTGTTGTTTCTGAAAATGTTGCCGCCTTTATTAGTGATATCACATGAATTCCAAATGTATTCGTCTCCTTTAGAGATTAATGGCAAAACAGTATTACGATTAAAGAATATATTTGGATTTTCAAAAATTCTCAAGTTTGAATGAAATTTTTATTAAAAATATATTTAAAAATATCATACTATTAAATGTTATTTTTAATTTTTCTTCCATGCTACGTATGTGAAACGTAATTCATCCGGAAAAAAATGCCATAAAAATGGCATCATTTTAAAGCAAAAACAATGATATATATATATATAGATTTATATAAAAATTATTTGTAATCCATTGTGAAACAAAACCCAACTTGATGCATTAAAAATGCATTCTGAGAAATTCTTACCGGTTTTTCCTTTACATTTCAGTTATAACTTAAAACGACTTTCCTCAGTTATGTGTGATCAATCATAATTTAATCTATTCTTTTCGTGCTTTTTTTTTTTTTTTTTTTTTTTTTAATTAGATCATGTATACTACTAAACTAATAACATAGTTTTTTTTTTTTTGTTTCATTTTAATTAAATCGAAATTTTCTTTTTTCCTTTCATTAATAAAATCACTTTAGAGCGTCTTCTTAAATTCAGTCAGACATGAAGGCATTGACAGAGAATAATTATGCTGCTTGTACATAAATTTATGCGTAGAGACGTATGGAGAGAAAGAAAATTTTGCTCGTATGCATTTTATCTGTTTGCATTTTTATGAATGTTCCGGTGAAAGGAGCATAACACACAAAGTTGCCAGCTGTGTATCGATCTAGCATATATAGAACATAAACATGTGTATGTGCAAGCAGCTTGATAAATCTCAAAGTATGAAAGTGTTAATGAGTTTGTTTCAAGTAAATTTTATATTTAACACCGAGAGACATGGGGTGAACTTACATTGTACAATGTACATATTAGGGAGAGTTTCCCAACCGAACTGATATTTTCTATCAAGAAAAAATTTAAAATTTATAATATGAGCCTCTGCTTGTTGACCATTGCTATCACTTAAGTGGATAATTAACCGGTCAACTGGAGTTTTTTATAACTAACCACCCGTCATCGAAGGATGTGAATATTATGAGTCGATTTTTCCGTTCATTATATACAGAAAATGTCACAAAGCTGCTCGTATTCTCATTCAATATAAGATACCGTACTCGAATATCGTCAAGTCTGTGCATTTTATGGACCGTCGAAACGTATCTTACGGCCACATTTCTTGCTTTTTGAACGATTATATTCTTTTTTTCACTTGCGAATTTTTCTCTTAACATCAAGTTAAAGTGATATTCAGATTCCTATTTCTTTAATTCGTTGCAATATAAATACAAATTTTTATCGATTGAACAAAAATTCGGTTTTTATACCGGTTGTTGAGAACTTTATTCCAAGATTTTGTATTCTTTCCCTTCATCACTAAATTACAACACAAAGCAGTAACAGGGATGTCCAGTATTTCTTCGGAGCGGAGCATGAATGTTTTCATCGACACTCTTTCTTTATATTCCCGCTTGCACGAGGCATTACGAAGTGTGAGGTTTTACGAAGTGCAATATGGTAGTCATGTCTGTCCATTTGTTAGGGGATTATTTAATATTGCGAGACTGAGCAAGAGATTGTTATAAACGTACACATTTTTTTTTAGATTGATACGACTGTCACCAATAGTAAGTTCGGTTTGTTGATTTATAGGTGAGAGCGTCTTTTCTGAATGTTCTTCCAAGCAGCATAGGAAATATCTTTAATTGCTTCTAAGCAATTACTTACATATCTTCGCGTCACATGCATTCTTAAAATAAGAATTCACTTTATTTTTTGAACGCATTATTTACTTATTTTCGGAAAAAAATTAAAAACCTCAATGCATTTATGGCATATGTCGATTTGAAGTTATACCTCATTCTAGAGTGAGTGTGTGTCCTTCTTCTACGTTTTCTTTTTTTTAGTTTACGTTTGCTTTGCTAATGCTGTTTCGCGTAAGATGAATAAGAGCTTTTCATCTTTCAAATGTCATTAAAAAAATTTCTAAGAAAACTTTTGAAATTTTATATTCATGAAGTAACGAACACAGCGAGAAGGCGTTCAATGCCCATTCGAGCGTTCCTTAAATGCTTATTTCAATTTATATTTCATATCATTTTTTTCTCTCCTAACTGAATATTGAAAGATATTATTTTTCATCCTATATGTGACAAAGGCTTGCATCTAAAGCGAAGACTCATTGCTTAAGAATGAGGTTATATTGCAAACATTCTTTCGTTTGCAAAAAAAAAAAAAAAAAAACACAGAAACACGCATCAGTGATCTGTTAAAATATATACGTACGCGATCGATGTAACAATCTGTGTCGTTGTATATCTGTATCTCCTTCCGTAAGTCCGTGTGTGTCTGTGTATCTGCTTGCCGTTACTATTGAGATGGAAAGCCTAAGTTTAATATAATTATATTCTCAGTTAATGGCCGTGTATGTA